TCTGATCGGACTATCTAAGAAACTGTGTGGAGACTTTCAGATATAGGAGGCGTTGATCTATCAGACATTTAGGCATTTAAAATAGCGAGTCGTTAAAATACTTTAAAGCAGAAGCTTTGGAAATATCATATCCTACAATAGAAATCTTCCACATCATGTCTTAGAGGTGGAATGCTCGGTTGTTCGACGATTGTTATAAAATAAAATATAGAGAGATAGACATTTAAAAGCTAAAGTTTTAAATTTCGGAAAATTGTCAGCATTTTAACAGTCTCTCCACGAAAAAGAACTGGAGTAGGACTTGGACTGATGTGGGATTCGGAGTACCTGTCCGAGAGGACAATTGACTCCTTCATATGAAGTGATGCCCTTGGGCGACTGGATTTTGACAGCAAGGCAGATTATGGTGTGAGAAAGGCACAGGTGGTAGCAGTCATAAGGCACATTATGGCTAGGCACTAAAGAGCTAGAACAAAGCTGCGTTGCATATGAACTTTAATCAATTATATGTAGTGATGTTCAAAATAAGTTCAAATGAATAAAAAAAAATTATATAAACTTAGGTACCACTAGAATAAATTTTCGCAAAAACTGTAGAAAGTTGGCAGCCCTGTACATATATGCTTACTTTCACTCCTTCTGAGAAAGGATAATCAAAGTAGTGATAAAACAATTTCCAAAAGACAATGTTTCTCAAAAATTTATTTATATTTTGATCAAGTCGAAATTCGGATATTGGATCAGAAGACCTTTATATTATTGGCAGTTTTATAGTCACAATAAAATTCATATTTACATGAAAAATTGGTTGATTTGTGGTGCCAAAAACACAGACTAATACCCGCAGGAAACAAATACCGAGATTTAAGATTGAATTCCATCATAATCGGTATGGATAAAAGTATGATAGTTAAAATATAATAAAATAAAATTCAGAAGCTGCAAGATAAAATAAGTAAAGATAAAGTAAAAGAGTATATATATATATTTCTACAACTTAGAGTATTATTCTATGTTCAACGTTAGTGACAAAAAAGATATCTAGCTATTAGTAAGAATAAAACAGCTTAAATGATGTCTTTTTAGAACTTTATGTGATGCTGGAAATGAAAACTTGTATCAAGATATTCAATTTGTACCTAAAATTGATTGCATTCAGTAAAAGAAAAAAAAAATTTCAAAAATTTTAAGTACCACTATTTATTTAAAAATGTAATTTTTATATTTAAAAAATTTTGTTTTGACTCATCCACTTAACTTAATAGATAGCTTCATAATATTCACTCACAAGCAGTAAAATAAGTTTACTGGTGGGTAGGAAGAAAAATATTACTTAAATTTGTAACAAATTCGTATGACAATATCTCAGTTTCTTAAACACTAATGTTACCAACGCTTTATAGATACCTATTCTACCATTAGTGGGTCAAATTATCCGAAATTTATATCAAGACGGAAAAGAGTAAAAACTGGTAACAAATAAATTTCTTTTTTTAGTTTTTTTCCCTGAATAATAAAAATCCATAACTACCAATTGTTTTTAACGGATGCAATTTTTATATTGAATTGCTTCTTCGCCGTGTTAAATTTCCTTACAGTGAATTGTTATTGTTGAGAATAGTCCTCCCGAATATTATCTAATATTGAAATAGTTCTTCTACCAGTATTTTCTCTTATCCGTCTCGCTTTCAGGACTGCTACAATACGATAAGCAATATGTATCGATAAGCTTATAAAACGAAAAATTTTCTCAGGGTCAAATGACCCGATGTGGTAGACAACGGTATACGACAGGCATTACTCAACATAAACAAAACAAAAAGAAATATAAAAATAGTATAAGAACTGTAGATTAATTAGTAATAAAAAGTTATAAAGTCAAATTTGCAGAAGTAATAAGATGATAAGTGCATTTTCAATAAGATGATAAGTGCATTTTCAATGCAAAAGTTCAAAGTGGATTATTTGACCCGTTATGGTATTATTAGTGTTAAAGGCATATGGAAATTGAGGCTGTAAGAATACATACTCTACAGCCTAAGCTTTTATTCTAAGGTCTACGCGAGTCACGATGGACATCAGTTAAAGATTCTTTAAAACACACACCACTCTGTTACTGAAAAGGTTAAATTAAAATTTTATGCATTGAGCGGAAAGGGTTGTTTGTTTACATGTGTATTCACAAAATCCCCGAGGAGTCATTTATTATTAAATTCATTTTTGGTTAATGGAAAGAATAACAAATTGAAAATGGTTGTTAAAATTGGCAAAAAACATACTCCTTCATAGCATATTATATTCCATTAATAAATAAAAGTTGCCGTTAAGGTACTTCTCCTAACGCCATCTTAAATTTTAAGTAAATTTATTATGCTTCGTTCTCTTGTTTTATCAGAGAAAATTGAAAGAGAATCTAAATTACAGCATGTATTGGAAATTCCCAAATTCAGGTTAAGTGAAAACCTTGCATCTTACATGTATTGGAAGATAGTGCGAGTAATGTAAATGTCCAGCAAGAGCGCATTTGTGAAAATGAAATAAAAAAGATTAAAAGCATATTTAGAATTTTTCACGCCTTCGGCAGTTCAGTTTGACCGAGGAGAAAAAGGCCTCTAAGAACTAAATTAATATTTTACTTTTTTACCATAAAAACCTTGGTTTTCTTATTTGCTATGAAACAATCAAGCGTTTTGAGCCGTGATGGTTCAGGAGATAAAGGCGTTCACCTTCCGATGAAGTGATTCAGGTTCGAATCCCAGCGATGGCTGGTCGATACGAATTCCCCAACCGGCTCGCACCGACCACAGTGCTGATTTAAAAATATCCTCAGCAATATGCGGATCATGTATTAGAGCGACGCTTCCTATAACTGAAAGTCTCCTCACGGTTTTTTGTAGGTAGTCGGATCAGCATACGTGCCAACTTTCAATCCATTGAAGGATGATTTTCCCCAGTGGTAGTAAACTGAAATTTAAATTACAATTTTAAGCAGAAACATTCGTTGTATTTTGAAGAACCTTGTGCGGATTACTTCAATAGTGTTACATATTATGGTTAATTTATTTAAAAATAGTGGTGGATCAAAAATATTATAAATTAAGTTCATAAATTCAAGGAATACATCGAAAGCATACATTTCACTACCACTTTAAATATAGAATTAAAATTTTACGCCAAATGCGTAAAAATTGTCAGGTATGGATCAGACAACTTTGAAGGTAAATCAATTAGTGAAAGAACCATTTAATATGAAATCTATTAAAAATTAGAAAGTGGTAACAAATGTATGTCTAAAAATTTGTTTAATTTATGAATATATTTGGTTTGTTTTATTTACTTGTCATTGTCAACCACTACAGATTCAATTCTCAAATATATATGATAAATTTCTCTCAAGTACTTTTAAAACAGAATTTGGGTTCAAGAGCACAACCGGTTTCCTTTTTGAATAGTCTGCGCAGACTACTTATAAGAAACCGTGTGGAGGCTTTCTGACGTAGTAGGTGATGGGTAGGCCAACCATGCATTTCCGTGGTTTTCCTTTCCACGTAAACCAGATGCGGGTTATTTCCATCAAAAAGTCTTCCACGAAGGCAAATTTTTCCCACAAATTTCCCCCAGTACTTGACCCAGGAGTTCCCCTGTCTTCTGGATTGAGTTCAAGATTACAAGGCTATGGAGTTGAACATTAGTAGACGTAAGCCCAAAATTGGGTCTGATGTTCTATGCCGGTTATAAAATAAAATAAAAATCAAGCGTTGTCATGGAAGTGTAATATACAATTTTGCCAATCTGCCAAATTTTACAGTGATAAATGACAGAAATATCCTGCTTGTCTACACCAGCCCTAAGCTTCCCCCAGGCTCCCATACCCTTAAACTTTATTTATTTTGAACACAAATCTATTGTTATGAAATAAAGGTCATGGTATATGCATTTTTGTTTTTCAATCTACACAAATTGCATCCCTACATTTGGCGTGTCTCTAAATAATAACCATGTTTTAAAGACTAATATTTTTATGTTACACACTGCAACAATAATAGACGCCGCAAAACGAAAAAGTAAAATATGTACTAATGAATTATGATTAACACACACCCCGTTTCAATTTTGTTTCCTGAAAGAAAAATGAAGTATCATTCTCGAACAAAGCCTAAAAAAAAAAAGGGGGGGTTAGTAGCGTTTTTATTACCCGTTTAAACCACAAAGAAACATTTAATAGCGCAGTTATTAAAGAAAGGTTGCAATATCGCGTATAATAGGCGTTGATAATGACATATCATTATATCGTTAGAGGAACATTGCTATTGTTGGATTGTTGTTAAGTGATTGTATGATGAAGTTTAAATCAAACAGGAAGTTTGGATGATACTGGTTATTTTTCATGTCACCAAACCGGAACTAATGGACGCAATGTAAACTCGGCATTATGTTTTTTAATATAAGTTTACAAATGACGATGACTATTTAATTTGAGATTGGAATTTGCCTTACAAGGCCATAGACATCTGGTTGATTAATTAGTTTATTTTTAGATGAAAAAGTCTTTTGATTTGGAAAGAAAAGAATTATTGTAGTGGAGGGTTGAAACGCCCTGGGCGTTTAGACGAAGGTAATCTGTGACTGTGACACTATAACTTTAAACCTTTTTTTAGGTTATTAGTATTATTTTTACTCAGAAATAAATATTTTTAATTAGGTTATTACTTGGCGTAAACGAAGTATTTTATAAAGAATGGAATATGTTTTTTTTTAAACGAATTCAATAATTAAACTTTGGGTCACTAAAAGAAAAAATTCTTTTACATTTAGGAAAACTTAAGAATAGTTGTCGGATATAATGACTTTTTTTCTTTCTGTATACATTTAGATAAATAGGAATTTATATATTTATAAATATAACTTTCCCATTTTTTTCTTATTAAAAAAATTTTCTTTTCCAGTCTTTGTCTGTTTTTATTATTTATTTACTTATATTTGCTCACTTTTCGTTCCAGGAGTAACCAATTGAGGAGTTTGCCCCGGAATCCATGCACATGTCTGCCAGCTTTCAATGCTTTTTGCAAAAATTTATTCTAGTGGTAGCTAAGTTTATGTCTTGATGTATTATTTTTTTATTTATTTAAACTTATTTTCTACACCACTATACATAAAGGATTTAAAATTTCATCTGCAACACCACTTTTTTCAAGCTCGTTCGGGACCACTTAGATCAGTCTGCGTAGGAACCGAGGTTGTGCGGTGTTGATCCTCGTTAAACTGTTCTACCGCAAAGTGCTCGACTTCGCGTGCAGGTCGTCGGGCTACCGAAGCGGGGGTGCCATCTCCTCTGCAGAGGATCAAAATTGTGATGGCATGTCTTTGGATCATCCTCAGGAATGCTTCCCTGACCGTCACCAATAGCCCATAGTGCAGCTCTAGTGAGACGTAAATGAACTAAAATCAAGCTCATTCGGGAGCCAACCTCGGCTCGGAGCGGTATCGCTCGCCACAGCTGTGCAAAGTGTGGAGGTAGCGGGTTCGAATCCCGTAGTTACCCTGGACGTATCTTCGTCCTTTCTTTCTCTATAGTGTGCTATCTGCCCTTCTATTTGATAAAGGTTTATAAACCTGAATCGAGCACACAAGCCTGCAAGTGTATGTAAATCCATTAAACTAATCAAGCTCGTCCGTGGTGAGGCTTTTAAAATGCTGATAAAGTTACCAGAAAGCTTTGGTTTTTAAATAACTATCTCTCTCTAAAATAATTTCCAAAAACGTAATAGTTGGCAAGCCTGCATAAACTCTGCGTGCAATTATTGTAAGATTTTGTTTTCAAATTTTCATCTTGATATCGCTCAAATGTTATTCAGTGTGACTCAGAAGTGATTCAATTGCTACAAATATGAATTCAGAAGTTTCAAACCATAAATTGAAAATATAATTGCAAGATCATACCTGCCAACTTTTACGCATTTGGCGTAAAATTTTATTTCTATACTTAAAGTGGTAGTAAAATATATGCTTTCTATATATTCCTTGCATTTATAAACTTAATTTAAAATCTTTTTGACCACCACTATTCTTTAAAAAATAAAGCATATATATTAATATGTAATACTGTCGTGTCGCTACGCATAACCTTTCTCAAAACATCTCATATCTTTCTGCCTAAAATTGTAATTTAAATTCTATTTTACTACCACTGGGGAAAATCATCCTCGAATGGATTAAAAGTTGGCAGGTATGCAAGATAGAGGTTAGAGAAAAGCTGCATTTTCTGAGGAATAGATGTTAATTAAAATTTTTAAAAAAGTGGTAGCCAGTGTATTTTAACCCATTCTCTGTTGACGAAGCATTTGCGTAAGATTCTAGCTATTTGAGACTGATTTGAATAATTTTTTTCACTGTTGGTGTGCTAAATCTGAAACTTCTGGGGAAGAAACCAGAGATGCCAACTGCTCCGCTTTTTGGAAAAAATTTAATAAATTGGTAGCGAATTAAATAGTCATGCTTGTAGAATAATAACAATTACGCCCCACTCTTTAAAAGTGGCACCGCGAGGTAACTACGATGAAGTTGCATTCAATATCATTCTTTGAATTTTTGTTATGTAAAGATGGAAAAATTATAGAAAATGAAAAATACTGAATCAAAAAATACTTAACTAAATTTATTAAACACGTTGAGGAGTAAGTTGGCATCTCTGTGTATATAAATAAAACTATTTTTGTGTGTTCTATATTGCATTAATTTCTTCAAATCATTTTAATAATATTAAAAAAAAAGTAATATAATAATATGTATAATATAATATAGTAAAAAAAAAATTTAAAATTTACTCGATTTATGTGTTTCTAATAATCTTGACTTCAACGGGTACCGGTGACCCCCGTGCCGCTACGAACAAATTCAGAGCCGGTCAGCGATGACCCTAATGGCATTCTAGGTGTTAACTAATATATTCAATTTATGTAATTATTCAATCATAACTACTACCACCATGACATATATTGGAAGTAACTCATAATTTAAACGAAAAATATCTATGCAAACAGATTTAGTTATAAACTGAAAGAAATAAGTTAGAATTTTCTCTCTTTTATTCTCTCTGAATCTCTTTTATTAGATATTAGATTTTTATGAATCACCACTATTTACATTTTTAGTCTCCTATGACCACCCTGTCGTGAAAAAAAGTTAACACGTTGAATGCCATGGAGGACGCCGGTGACCGGCACTGAGTTTGTTCGTAGCGCCACAAGTGTCACAGGTGACCGGTGTAGCCAAGTTTAATCGAAACGCATAATTCGAGTAAATTTTTAAATATTATTATCGAAACTAAAATGATTTGAAGAAATGAATACAATATAGAACACACAAAAATAGTTTTATTTATATGCACAGAGATGCCAACTTGCGCCTTACAGCGAATAAATATTTTCAAGTGGTAGTTTATTAATTGTGATTCTTGGTTTAATAAATTCAATTTAGTAGATTTTTATCCACCACTATTTCTAAACAAGTCGTAGGCTTATATAATTCGCCCCATATTTTTCAGTTACGTTATATCCTTTAACTCGCCCCCCTTTTGTACGTATTTCCAAACTGTAAATATTCATTAGTGTTTATTTTCCCATTGTACTTTAATTTTACCTTTTTCATGTACATTTTTATTACTTATAATTTTGTCATTGCCTAATAATGGCAAAGTGCCTATTTTCTTTTCTCAAGAACTCCATTTGCTTCCCAAACTTTAATTTTGTCATGTATGTCTCTAAGTTTAACTTCAAGATGAATGGGAAAAGGGCCGTAAGGCCTCAGACGCCCAGTTCCACTACAACGAACGAACGAACGAATTCAGTTACGTTATGCTAAACCTTATAAAAATGCTAGCGAAATCTATCTAAAAATTGCACATTTAGTTTGCAGTTATTTACCGTCTGGCCAGACAGGAAAGCCATGTAAAACGTGTTAATAGCAATGAATATTTTATTAAGAATTGATTTACTGCTTCCAAAAATAATTTATTATTGAAATGGTTCTATTACCAGTTTTTTTCTCTTTTCCATATCACTTTCAGGCCTGAATGTGCTGGCAATATTTAATAAAAAATCATTTTGAATTGATTATTATTCCGCTCCTCTCTTACATATTCTTATCTGCATAGCTGCCGTAACTAAAATTTCATTTTTATAAAATGTTGGTAAATTTTATGCTTTATATTCATGTTCTGAATTAATGACAGGCCAGCAAACTACTGCACATTTTTAAAAATATTTTATTAAGTGGTAGATACTTAGAATCAAAGCTTTCAGAATTTTTGGTAATCAGGTCTACATTTTAAATGCCTCACCACGAAAGTGTTGATGAAAAATATGAACTTTTAAATCATTTATATGGAAAAACAGCTCAAATGAATAAAAACATTTCAATAAATGAAATTTCATTTGAATACATTTTTTCAAAAAGAGTAAAAAGTTGACAGCTCTGTAATAAGTTTAATTTAAAATGATTTGATCTATCAATATGTATGAACAAATTAAACACTATAAATGCCTGATAATTCGAGGATGGTGTTTTTATTTCCTGACAATATGAATAAAATATTTTGACCAACAATTGTAATGCGTTTTCCATCCTACAACCACTTGGGAAAATCATTTTCGAGAAAAGCGAAAGACTCTTATTTTGCACTAACGCAAAAAGTGCCCTAATAATAAACGTGATAGTCAGTTTGCATTTAAATTAAAAGGAGATTTTCTTCAGCTATTTAATAATTTGGTTATAAATCGCAACAACTGTTTAATTTCAGAACAAGATGTTCATCACTGGATGTATAATTTTATGTAATTAATAGATTTTAGCTGATAGAAATATTAAATTTTTTGCTTTTGTAAGTACACAAAGAATTAAATATTTGAATTGCCAATCTTAAACACGTTGAATGCCATGGGGTCACCGGTGACCGACTCTGAGTTTGTTCGTAGCACCACGGGGGTTACCGGTGAAGCCAAGATTATTAGAAATGCATTATTCGAGAAAATTTTTAATTCTTTTTTATTATCGTTACTAAAATAGTTTGAAGAAATTAATACAATATAGAACACACAAGAATAGTTTTATTTATATATACAGAGATGCCAACTTGCTCCGGACCGCGAATAAATATTTTCAAGTGGTAGTTTATTAATTGTGATTCTTGGTTTAATAAATTCAATTTAGTGAAATTTTATCTTTCACTATTTCTAAACAATTCGTGGGCTTGTATAATTCACCACTTTTTTCAGATATGTCATGCAGATATGCCTTTTAAAAAATTAGCAAAATTTGTCTAATATTTGCAAATTAAGTTTGTAGTTATTCACCGTTTGGCCAGACGGGCAAGCCATGTAAAATTAGCCTGGCATTCAACGTGTTAACATATTAAAAAAGAGACACGTTCAAACATATAAATTTGGCTTTGTGATTCCTCAAATTGTAGATTCTTTTGAGAAAAAATAAACTCCACCCTATCTGTAACTAAAGCTGTCAAGATATCTCACTTACTTATCCAATCAGCAAACTTCTTCACACCGCCTACTTTTTTCACACCTTCCAGCTATTGGAGGAAATGAAGAACAAGTATCACAGATACCGAAAGAAAGAATCTCTTTTAGAAAAGCATTGACGCCCTAGGAAATAGATCTATAGCTAGAATGCCACGGGCGACAAAAATGTAAAAAATGGTGATTAATAAATAACAAAAATCTCTTATAAATAAATAAAAATAGGTACGTTTTCTAGCGTAATTTTTTCAGTTGACTATTGATTGAACAGGGTTCCCACAGTCCACTAAAATTGCATAATGTAATAATAAAATTCAAAACTAACAAAATTCAAAATTTTATTGAAAAGATATTAAAACATGCAACTTTTTTTATTAAGAATAAAAACTTTTATTAGAACAAGTGCTTTTTTTTTTTTTTTACCAAGCATAAGCATATTTTATTCAGTTGACTATGGATCTCAAAGAAAAGGATTGCCGCGGGCGACTAAAATTGTAGAATTGCAGAAACTAATAAAATTCAAAATTTTATTAAAAAAGATTAAAATTTATAATTTTTCGCATACTTTTTTTGCGTTTACAACTAAATATGAATTTAAAAGTAAATCATAAAGGTATCAAAGATAAAATAGATAAAAAAAAGAATAAATAAACAAAAGTTGATTTTTATTTACTTATAACATTTTTAAGCAAAACTGTCTTTTTTTCTTTTTAAATATGAATAACTTAGAATTAAAATCTAGGTGGTAGTTTCAATTGTAATTAAGTAAATTAAAGAAATAAAACAATGAATTGAGCCTTAACCACTTTTTTAACAGTCTGTAATATATGCCTAAATTAATTTAATTAAATAAGTTCATTTAAAATGGTTTTGACTAATATTTACCAACTCTAACTCTTATCCAGGATAATTATTCCCAAGTGGTAATGAAGTGACAATTAAATTAAAAAAAAAAAAAGCATATAGATACTTCCACCACATTATGTCATTCCACATGACATAAATAAAAATAAAGCGAATTTTTGTTGCTGTTAATTAAACATGTCATAAAAAAAATTTACAGGCTCAATTTTATTACCGAGAAAGAAAAAAAAAATGCGAATTTCAAATCTATTTATATTTAGCCAGAAGTTTTTAAGATTTGTGTAAAAAATTGATGAAGGAGCTTATAGCCCCTAGGACTAGGTATTCCATACCGAAATTTACATGGGCAAAAAATGAAAATAACGTTATTTTAATATCTTACGCAAGCATTTTTGATATCCCAGCTAAAATAAGAAAGTCAGAAACCTTTCAGAAGAAATTAATTATTATAAAAAGATTTTTAACTTAATGATTAATTTAAATTTGTTACAGTTAACAATACCACGATATATCGGGAAATATCGATTCGATTTTGATCTGCTTTAAAAATACCCAAACAAAATTTCCGAAAAAGCTGACCAACAATATGAAATTTTGTTTTAAGGAGTTAAACGCGGTCTTTAAGAAATCTTCCATGGAATGCGGAATTAAATCAAGCTACGACGTGTATCCATGTCCAGTGACGTAGTTTTAGAAAAAGAAAAAAACTCCAAAACTTATACATCACTAGATTAATGAAATATTGTGCGCAAAGGAGGATGTAGATATAAACATATATGTATATATATATATACAATCGGGCTTCGAGCTTCCCTTCCCCCTACCATCCGGAAAAATTAAATATTTAGCAACTCTATTGAAATACAGGAAACATATCACCAAATAATATTGCTATCATGTTATTGTACTTTATTAAATTCGATTTTTCAAAATCAATGGTAATTTTTATTTTCACGGCGTGTATACACGTCATACGCTCCGCAATAGAGATTTGAACCGATGTTAAACACTCTCAACTTCTTAAATAGAGAAGGAATCGAAATGAAGTTTTGTATTATGAAGATTTTTTTAATGTACTTACATTGTCATTTCTCTGTTGTTGTTTTTTTAAATTTCTTTTTCATTATTTTTTAATTTATTAAAAATGTTTATTATTCTTTTTTATTTATTTAATTTTTTTTATTATTTCTTTATTTATTATTTTTTTTTTTTAATTTTTACAGATGCACATATTTTTTTCCAAACATGCGCTCTTTCTAAGAAAATTTTATGCTTACCATCTGATTTTACATATTTTATTATTAATTTTCTTCTAGGTTATTGGGCTGGAGGAAGAAAAAAGTGAGTGCAAGCAGCCCCAGGTGACCAGTGTCAGGAATGCGTGATAAATATTCTCGCTAACAAGCGTACTTTTGCACCATCTTGGAGTGTGTTTCAGCATCCGATCTCACCGCTGTTTAGTTACAGAAAATATTAAAATAAAAATTTTTATAAATTAAAAGATGCTATAGGAAGCTGTGAAAAACTTGTATGTTTATTTAAATAATTTACTAATTTAATTATAAGAAGCAGCAGTTTTTCTATACCAGGGTTCATATGCACCTGGAAAAATTTTACTGTGTATACACTCTTTTAATCGAATTTAATAACCCAAGAATCGTACAATGAAAGACTACCACTCCAAAATATTTATTCTCTCTCAGGAGCAAGTTGGCATCTCTACGGATGCAAAAAATTTTATTCGATATACAGCGGAAGTTAATGTTAAGAAATATTCAGCTTCATTATCAATTATTATTTTTCCAGGTGCGTACAACCAACGTCTCCACACGGTTTTTCAAAGGTAGTCCGATCAGACCACTGTGAAGAATATTCACTTACAGAACGAGTCATTTAATACAGAATATAGTTAAAATAAAAAAGTGGTAGTAAATATATAACAAAAAATTTATTTTATTTATGAATATTACTGGTATGCCTCATTCACTTGTCAACCTCTACAGATTCAATTCTCAAATATATAAGATAAATTTCTCTCAATTACTTTTATAAAAGGTTTTGGATTCATGCGCACAACTGGTTCACTTTTTAAACAGTCTGCACGGACTACTTATAAAAGACCGTGTGGAGGCTTCTTGATGTAGGAGATGATGGTACAACCCTGTATATTTTATTGTGACATTGTTTTTTAAATATAATGTCGATTACACTTTAATATCTGAAATTGTTAAAATGCATTACAGGAAGATAATTCCTGTGATGATTAATTACATACAGATCTACGGACATGATGTTCTGTAATGACTGCTTTTAACTCGACTTTTTAAAGTTCCTACAATCCTAACCTATACACCAAAAATAAAAGGATCTCATACGGTTTGTGAAATGCAACAACTGCACACACTCATCATATATGTAGCAGGTACTATTTCTATCACATTAATATCCGCTTCCACTATTTATGATGCCAAAGAAAGATTTCTTTGTACATGATATGAAAAAATTTTCATGTACCAACAGCAACATAGCTGATCGTATTTGAAACAGCTAAAATCACAGTACGTTGAACAATTAGGAAAACTGAGTTACTGAACAATAAAAACCGAAATTCTGCTTTATTTTATGAAAACTGGTATAAAGTATTCTGAATTAATCTCAAAATTGAATTATTAAATATAATTTAAAATTTAATTTATCTAGTGATAGCAAATAAACTTCAAAAATCAAATCTTTAAAAATCAATTTTTATCGTTAACTATTCGGCCGATTTCGCTCAAATTTTGCATTTTACCGTTTAAAATTACATTCTTTACTATGTAAAAAATTTTATAACTTACTATTCAAATTTTTTTCGACTGTTATTAATTTAAAATAATCTTTGGATAAACGAATTTTATAATTGTGTGTAAATATTTTTCAATTCGCTAAAATATTCTCGAGATACGGTGAAATGTGCAAAAAATAAAGTTAACATAAAGGGGTCAAAACTTTGCACTAATCTCCGGACCAAACTATTAGGGACATATTTTCTAGAAAAAAGTACGTTTCTGCGTCTTATTTCGTAACTTGACAAATCGTCTCCATCATCTATTAATTAGCATATTTGAAGTCAACCCCTCGAACAATTAAGCTTGAGTCCTGAAATGAAAAGATCTGATCCAAAGTTATTCTGGTTAGCCTACCCTTTATGTTTTTTTTTCCTTTGTGCCCTGAACATGATCATCGTATTTATTAAAAACCTTCCTTATCAAAATCTAAGACAATCAGAAAAAATATCAGAAAATAATATATAATATATATATATATATATAAAAAAGTTCAAATTTACAGCATAATTACGGGTTTAAAAAGTTTTTCTATTTTTATTTATTTATTTAACAAAAAATTTTTTTTTCAAATTTACAACATAACTACGGGTTTAAAGTTTCACTATTTTTATTTATTTATTTATATACTTTTTAAGTGACTTCACATAAACTTTGGTGATATTGTAGACAATACCGAAAATTGTTTTAGAAATAAATTTCTGAAAAATTATTTCCCTTTAGTTGCTCAATAACTGAAGTATTTTTGCGATTAAGATTGCACAACAGAAAAAGCTATGGTTGACTGCAGAAAAATTTCAAAACTACTTCAATTTTGTTGAAAATTGCAGTTTATTTTTAGCATGGTTAGTTTTAAAGAAAAAGTATTTGTTTAGTTCCAACACAGTCTTAAGGTAAGACTAACTAATTAAGTTTAGAGCAACATTTAACTTATGAACTTTCAGTCAACAAAGTAATAGTTAAGTAACTTCTGTTTAAATCAGTTTCCAGCAGAAGCTTCAAACTGTGATGAAGATTCAAAATTCTCCAACATAAGCTTTAGGTAATGCTTTAGATAGGACTTACGAACAAAGTTGAGTACCATTCAAATTAAGAACAAAGACTTACAGTCATCAAAGAAATGGTTAGAGAAACTTCTATTTAAATCAGTTTCCAACAGTTTCCTGATAAAGGGTTCAAAATTCTATTACCTATTCTTCTTCCAACTAATCGAATCAACACTTTCACATTACACATACTAATGTTCTATAAAATATTCTATTTTCATGAGACAATATTCATTTAACATCGAAATTGAGCGATCTCACGTGGTGCTGCCGACACCGTGCCTCCAGCCGCGCTGCAGCATGGGGCTGAAAAACCTAATCAAGCTTCCTCCTGTTTGTTGGAGGGCAGCGGGTGGGCCCCGGATAGTCGGCCCGAAAGATCCGGCCTTCCAGGGTGGGCTGTATATTATGACTTCGGGCCCTTTTGCGTCCCGTGGTCACAGTTAAAGGAAGTAAATAGGAAATCTCACGCTTCTTTGAATGTCTTTGGTCTCCTCCCCCCCATGGAGGTGCCTGTCATCACTTGATTTGAGATCACCCCCGAAGACGCCCAGACTGAGAGGAATTTTCTTTTTTAAACAAACCTGTTTTGAACTTTTGTTTACATATTATTTTCATTTTCTTTTCTTACCGGACTCTTATTTTACACAAATGAAAAGAGCCTGCAAGAAAAACATAGTTGCGGGTTTTTCTTGTGCAACAACTATTTCATTTCAGAACAAGATATAGACATGGTTGTCAGGGGCGACTAAAAATTCAGGAAGAGGTAAAAACTAACTTCATTTTTTATATATTTAATTCATTTAGTTGTCCAATAATAACTACAATTGTAAATTATTCGTATTTAATACGAAAAAGTTCTTTACCATCAACTTCAATATATAAACTGAAAGAAATGTGTTTGAAAATTGTTTCCTTCTTTTTAATAGATATTTGTTTTTCATTGATCACCACTTTTTGCATTTTTAGTCGCCTGTGGCATCCCTGTATATATCACAGGTTATTTAATTTTTTATAATTAATTTATATTTTGGTTGATAGGAATATTCAGCTCTTCTAATTTTAAGTGCGAAGACTGAAAGCTAACAACATTTCGAAAGACGGACATGTTCCAAAAATGGAACATTGCCATTTAAACGGTTGAAGAAAAAGACAGCAAAAAAAAAAAATCCAAGAGTTGTTTTATTTTATGATTAAATATAAGGAACCGATGCAGAACTTATTCATAAGTATAACTTTTCCGACGGTACTTGCACAGAATAGTTTACTTCAAAATTGGCAAGATGGTTACTCAATTATTTAATTTTTGAAATTTATCTTGGAGAAACTTAAGTTTAAAATGTGTACAATAAATGCCTATTTTTCAATATTTGGAAGAAAAAAATAATCATACCCGATCAAAAGAGTGGTAGGGGTACTACCACTCTTTTTCCTAAAAGTACCTTTTGCTTACCTCGAAAACATTTGTCAAAATAGACTAACTAAAAGCAATTTCATTTATTTCCCCAATTTCGAATTCTAAGGCCCAATATCAAAAATTTTTCTTTTCGTTAAGTACAAGAGAAATTTTACAATCACAAAAGTAACTGAATGCAAAATGTGTCTTTGCTTGCCTAAACAATTACATGTTCTTCTGAAGTTTAAGTTCACATTTCAAAATAGTGTGAGAATACACACTGCAGTTATATAACAAGACTTTGCATAAACGATGTCCAAACAATGCCAACATGAAAATGTTCCGAAGCAAATTATGGAAAACGGAAAGCATTCATCACCACTCGACCCCCCTTTTCGGAGGAGCGCCCCATGCAACCTCCCCTTTATTAGAAGGGAAATCGAGCTTGAATGGGATGCCCGTGCTTTAGACGGTTACAGGGAATAAATCAAGCGTGATTTCTGTGTAACCAAGAAGTGGGCATCTATCTACAAGCCGCCCCTGTAAAACACACCCACGCTATTTGCCCATCGGCTATGAAGAAAAAAAAAATCAACAGTAAAACCACAAATGTCTGTTTAATATACTGTATATTTTTCGTGTATCTGATGTGAATATAGATAGCATTCGGAAAGAAGAAGTAGATAGCATGCGGGAGGGGAGATGCAAAACTCGAGAAACATAACGCATTATTTTGTCATTTAGATAACTTTTTTACATTTCTTTTCAAGCGGTAAAGGAAAATAATCTCGTTGCTAAATTTTTTTAATGATGATTTAACATTGTTAACACATTTGCTGACAGGTTAGCATATGCGGATACGTGGTGTAGAGCACCGTGTGGAAGAAGAGTTGTAAATTTATGCGTAAACCTAGTAGATACAATCCAAGTTATTGGTCTTGCTGCAATTGGTATTACATATTTCTTGTCACTTCATTAAATTGATATTTATTTTAATCCTCCTCTCAATAAATACAATCAATAATATCTTTATCTCAGCAACCTTGACATTCGTGGGATGATCAAATTCTCTAAATAGATTATTTTTCTTCAGGAGCGAAGGCTCCGTCAACTGTTACTCGTAACCGTTGGGTCAAGTTAAGCCTAGCAGTGCTGTCTGCGATTATTTTGAAAATGGCGGAAAATGTCAAGATGGAGAAAAAGCTACACTTGGAAGCATTTCTCAGAATCTATT